TCTTTTCTCGACACTTGTTTTCTCCTTGTTGATAACACCAGCTCAAGCTTCTGTTTTCTCGACCTTTGCAATCAGCTTCGCCACAAATCGAGACGAATACGCGTACAGTGCAAATAGTCAAAAAGCATCCGCGCATCTACTTTGGTGACTCATGGGATTCCATCTGAATGAGCACGCAAGCATTTTCATATCTCAGAAATATAGGCTTTAACAACACAAAACTCATCCCATGATTCATATTTCAGGTAAAAAAATATTTAACTAAAATAAACTCAAGATAAACATCAAATTAACTCTAACAATCTACTTTCAAAGAACTTTTTAAAAATTATTCAAGAGTGATCCAATAAGAGCTCTCGGACAGACCATGGACTCGCTAGAATTCTATCTTCAAATTAGATCTTAAATCCATAACAAAAAAAAAAAGAATTAAAAATTTCCGAAACCCTAAATCACTAACCCAAACCTCGAGGCGGCAGACGTTGCCGGCGGCGGGAGTAGGGAGACGGTAAAAAAAATTGTGATATTAAATCCAGAGGTGCTGCTGGAATTCTATCTTCAAATTTTCAGATCTTAAATCCAACAACTCATACATCTAGATCAATCAATGAAACCTCCACAGGAAAAAAAAAATTAAATTTTGTGAAACCCTGATTAACCCACACTTCGAGAGGGAGACGATCTCGGAGACAGGGCGAGATGGCGCTGAGATGCAGACCCTCCGCTGGCGTCGGGAATCACCCCATGGCCAGAAAGGCGGAGCCCGAAGGATATGGCTGCCCATCACTGGTCCAACCTATGGTTGGAGGAGCGGAGCAAGCCGCGGCGGCAGATAGAGAGGAGGGGCGCCGAATACTGAGATTTGCTTTTTGAACGGAGAAAATTAAAGTCGAGAGGAAGTGGATCTGTTGGTAGAAATAAAACTCATGGTGTATCTTTAGTCTTTGCAGAAATCGTAAAAGTGGAACGTAAAACTCAAAAATGATAATAAAAAACTAATATCGTCTTTAAAGAAAAAAAACTTATGAGAGACATGCACCGGGTCATTCTTTCTTTATTTTCTGGAAAAAAAAAAAAATGATTTTT